GTCGTGTGATCCCTTGAACATCGTTCAAATTGAGCAATCGATATACCTACCGTTTTCCTTCCTTGTTAATTCGCCACTTATACAATTCGTGTTAATATTTATTGGTGCCTATTTGTTGTTAAAAAATTTTGTAAACAAGACCGCGGCCATATTTATATGCAGTGATGTATTTTATGGTACTTATAAAATGCATCATTACAATCACAAAGTTGCATTTTATGGTAACATTAAAATCAATGCAAAATCGACAAAAGTACTTCAAAATAATATCTATAACTAACAAAATTTACACTAATTCATATTTTCTTAGTTATAGTAATGCTTTTTTAATTATAAATTCCTAAATTTGCACGAAATTTTTTAAACTTTTCAATAAGATATATTATGATTTTTTAACCTTTTTAATGCAACAATGTTGCAAAAACGTGCGTTTTAAAATCAGGTGATCTCAGCTGTAGGCATTTTTTGGCAATCAGCTGATAGTGTTTTTACTTATGAAACTGTACAATGCTCATGACTTTGCACGTGGAGTATGAGTAAATTAGTTTATCTGTGTTAATGCCGTCATTTTTATTTTTATCGCTCCGAGTTTTAAAGTGAGGCGAAAAATATTTACACATTTTTAAAACACAAAACTTAAAACAACATAACGGCCAAAATTTTTACGCCAAACTTTTAATTCAGAAACTGACAATAGAGAGAAGAACGAGGCTAGAAAAATCGATGGCAAACAACCAAACAAGCAAGAAGCACAAAAAGTGTTCCACCGTCTAATCCTCTTCAAGGCAGGATAGGCAAATGGACTTGTCGTTTACGCCTATCAGTCAGGTCTTTGTGCCACGCGAAGTGACCAGTCAGCAGTCCAACAAGTGGTCTGCAGCGTCGTCTGCTCAGCGAGAGCAAAAAACTAGATAGACCTGGGATTGAAGACAACATGGGTTTTGCCCACCTGCATCCCCTCGATGCCGCCCAGTCATTGCTGAGCGAAGTATTCGCCCAGTGTCTGATGGTTGCTTCGATTGCCGAAGGTGGGAATGCTAACACTGGTTGCGGACCGAGGAATGCCTAGTCTGAGCCAAGTCTGGCCAAATGATCAGATGTCTCATAACCAGGTACTCCAGAGTGACCTGGCACCCAGAGTAAAGCAACCTCGTTATGTTCACCATCATATTTTAGTCGAGACTTGCATTGCCGAACTAGTTCGTAAGTACTTAAATAGAGGGCTGGTCAATACCTTAAGTGCAGCTTGGTTGTCACTGCAGTCACGTAAACTCCTTCCCCTCCACCTATGTTCCACCCTTAGTCCATGGCTTTGAGTATTGCAATTACCTCAGCCTGGAAGACCGAAGCATATTCCCCTACAGAAAAGTGAAGCTTATCTCCATTAAGCTCGAAAGAGACCCCAGATCATGACCCAGAGTCAATTTTGGAGTCATCAGTGAAGAATCGATAATGTGTGAGTCCGGTCTACAGGAAAAACACTAACTGACGGTAAGTGCAGCAGTGAGTCAAGAGCACTATACACCACTAAAAAAATTAAAATTAAATAAAGAGGCTATCAAGCAACCATTTTGGTTATTTACATCGAAGCCAGATAAATCTTCGTGAACCCCTATTTACAGCTCATGGACCCCCATATTATTTCACATAACCGTGGGCCCCCGTCGAGTCTTCCGTGGCCCCTGGGGGTCCACCTGGACCACTTTGGGAATCACTGTACTGAACGAATGCCCGGCATGCGAACAGGCGCCTTATACCTCATAGCCTCTCTTCGTATGCCCTCTGAATCTCACCCTACTAACGCTCTGTTCCTATGGACAGACCCCGTCGAGGCAGCACGCTTCCTGGGGCTACCGTTAGTAGAGCTTGACGATAACGATTGAGGGACTAACCGATCTGGGCGGGGTCGTTGTAGCCGCTACAACAACAACAACCCACCTGAATTCCGTTATATTTAAAAAAGAAAAGTAATTTTTAAGCACAAAACAAAACCGACTCCAATTGTTTCCACGACAGTCGGGTCTGCGTTACCGGAACGGCCCAGATTTATATCTGGCCAAGGACTGTCACTCCAGCAACACTCCCCGAAAAACGCCTTTGGGGAATTTTTTGTGCTGTTACAACCACAACAACAACAACCCACTTAAATGCTCATATACAAATTTAAGATTATTGTTAACAACTTTGCTTTAAAAAATAATTAGAGAAATCGGTTAACGTGGTCCAAAGTTATGCAGTAGCATAAATTAAAAAATAAATAAAGATATTCCGACGAATTGATAGCCTCTCCTTTTTGTGAAGTTGGTTAAAAACAGTTATAGCGAGTGAATTATTTTTTATAACAAAAAAAAATAACCATTGGAGAAACATTTATCAAAGCCTGGTTATTTTCGGGGGAAATGTTTAGTTATTGGCCCATCGGTTTTGGGGTGGGGGCGGAGGGGGAGGGGCGTGGCCCCCAAACCCCCCTCCTTCGGAAGGGGACAGTCGCCACTTTACGAAAAGCACCACTAGGTGGGCCACTTACTAAACAGTATCCATTTTGGGTCTCTAGTAAATCTGTAATTATAACAATCAATGCAGTTGAGCTAACCACGANGAAATAATGGGTAGACCTTGGCTACAAGTGTGTGGAATTTTTTTTTGGATCGGGTCACCCCTTTGCCCGCAATACCCCGAAATAGGTGGGCCACTTACTAAACAGTATCCATTTTGGGTCTCTAGTAAATCTGTAATTATAACAATCAATGCAGTTGAGCTAACCACGATTTCACGATGGCTGGTCTTACATGTATTCGATCGACCCGAGGAAACTCTTTGGGAAATTTCTATACTGTTACACCAACAACAAGTGTCGCGTAGAACTTTTTGTTACAAGACAATCAAAAATTAAAAGAATACACCATGACACAAAAATACTTGTATTTATTATTAAATACACTTACCGGTAGCCGCAGCCAGCAAGTCGTCCGTTCTTTCCAATTCCAGTAACAACTCCTATTTGTTATATATTCCCATTATAGATGTAGCGCAACAATTGCTTAATCTCAGAACACTTATATATTCAACTTTTTATTTTCGCTTAAAAAATCAACAACCGGAAGTTTTCACTTGAGTTAATAATTCCACTTCCGATTGCTCTATTACAAAACCGAAAAAAAAAAAACAAAAATGAAACCGCAACGAAGAGTACCTAATCACTTGATACCAATTTAATTATGAAATAGAAACTTTTTCCAATTAGAATACTGTTAACAGACACGACCACGTGAAATTTATTCCGACCACGTGAAAATATTCCGTTACTCTACTCTGTACGCAACACAAACAACTCGGTTCAACATTTTACTGAATAGTTGGTGATGTACACGAAAACTGCTGGACTAACGATTGATGAATAAAAACACCAATAAATAAAATACACTTTTCGTTATTAACTTTGCGATATAATATATGTAGTAATACTAAATAGGCAAATCTTTTCCCTATTAATTTAAACAACTTCACTCATCGCCATCAATGAACGTCACAAACTGAATCCTTCTTCTTCAATGCACTCATTCACAATTGATAGGAAAGATATGTGAGTAAAAGAGCAATCGATGTTTTTTCGATGTCATGCAATGAATGAAAATTTCTTTCATTAGTATATATATGTAAATAATAAATAAATCAAAGAATTAATTGAAATACCGCTTAATTAATTTACAGAAGGAATTAATTATGTATCTGGTTTTATTAATCACAAAACAAAATATGTGCTATGTTTATTATTCAATTTATGTTTAAACCGATGCATCAGATAGCAGTCATCGATATTTATTCTGGATTAATGATATTACATCCCAATACTACGTCCACGCGTTGTAAAATCGAGGATTGTTTCATATATTTTTAACTGGGTGTCTAACAAACAAAAAAGGATTCAGTTAAACTGAACTGTTCAATAAAACAATGGATGACGAGTTTACTCTTCCTGCGGATACATTAAAGATACTCAATGAATTTCTTCAACAGAAGGCACAAAGAGAACGGGATGAGCTTGAACGGATAGAAAACAAAGCCGCCTCGGATGTGATGTTCGAGGAAGATTGGGTGGGTTTCTGTAAATATTAGCTATAGTACGTATATATATGTACAATTACAGCAACTAAGTCAGTTTTGGTACAATGAATCGACTAAGCAGGCGCTGGGAAAAGCAGTTTGCAAATTGCTTTCTGAGCTGCAAAATGAGGCTAACAAGAATAGTTACCGCATAGCCCTTCTATCCTGTCCTTCACTATACGACACTGTGAAGCAATTGCACAATAATGGCAAGTAATGAGACACATTCAAATAATTGATTACTTACATATATATCTCTCTCTATTAGTGAAAATCTTCGAGTTCGATAAGCGCTTCTCTGCGTGTGGGGAGGATTTTGTACATTATGATTTTAACAAAGCAAATGAAAGTGGATACCTTGAAGAATTCAAGGAAACATTCGATCTTATCATAGCTGACCCCCCATTTTTATCAGAAGAATGTATTACAAAAATATCTAAAATCATAGGCAGTTTAAGCAAATCGAGTACAAAAATTTTATTTTGCTCCGGCGCCATTGTCGAGCCATGGCTGACAACTTGTTTGCAACTGAAAAAGTGTGCTTTTGAACCAGGACATGAACGTAACTTGGGGAACGAGTTTGTTTCATTTGCGAATTTCGATATTGACAGTTATGTAAATTCATAGATTAATATAGAAATAGGTGTAATAAATCGGTTTCATATAATTTCCGATTCAAAAATGTAACATAAATTTGAATGGATTAAGAAAATATTCGGCTTTATCGCGAATTTCACGTGAACAAATATTCCCAAAAATTATAAAGCAAGTTAAAGTCAATTGTTTCCGATATGTCTGTTAAATTCTGGGGACGATCTATTTACATGGACTTGGAATTTATTTCAATCGTTTTGTGAAACCGGCTGCAAATTGCATGTAATGTACATACCAAAATGTATTTTATTGAACGTCTATATTAGTTTATTTGGAGGAAAATATTGGGAAACAGAATTTAGTATTTAGAAATTTACGTATGTATATGAATAAACTAAGCAAACTTAATTTAAAGATTTAAATATTCATTTTGCCGCCGCATCGGCTTCCTTGCGCTGTTGTACTAATTCGCGTAGGCCATCTTCTTGGTCTTTTAATGATTTCACTAAAAATTCCTTCTTTTTATTGAGCAGTTCGATGGCCTTATCACATTTTTCTTGCTTTCCCTTGAGATCGCTGCGCATATTCTCTACATCGGTTAGGACAAACATGCGTCCCACAGAAAGGTAGACTCTAAAAGGAAAATTAATTACCAAAATGCAGAAATTATTTGTGAAAGTAAAAAATGCGGTGATCCAATAGGGAGGTCTGCATCAATAATGATATTCAGATACATGCATACATACAAGCACGAAATTTATTTTCAGACCTTGTATCATCCGTCAGATCGCTGGTGCCTTTCTCTGTTAGTTCATATTTCTGTTTTCCATTTTTCACCATGCTGCATTTCATATCGATCATATTCATTTTTTTAGTGGTCTCAATTTTGTTAATTTGCATTTCGGTGAATGCCTAGAATGGATAAACAGTTCTTGGTTAGTCACATTAAACACATTGAGCGGCAGTGGACACTGGGTTCTTTGTGACATACTGCCAAAACAGTTAATTAATACAAACCTTTTTCAATTCAAGATCCATTTGAGCCATTTTCAATTCGTTGTTCTTTTTGGGTATATTTTGTATTTGGTTTTATTTATTTAATTAATTATTTCAATAAAACTTACTCCACCTGCAAAATCAGCCTTTTTTATACACCAAAAAAAAACCACAAAGTATCTTCTTCTTTCCTTTTTCCTTCGCCATCATTCACGGTAGGGTAGATTTTGCATGCAGAGACAACCATGTTATTTAATGAAGGGTGACCCATTTGCCAAGCCATATATGCACGGTTGCCACTTGTTAAAAAATAAATAACCAAACCCTTAAAAAACAACTAAATTTGTTATCCAATTATCTTTACAAAAAGATAAACTTATTACAAAAAAAATCAACAATTTTGAGCTTGACGCCTTTTTTTAATGAAAATTTTGTGGAAAACAACCTTAACTTACATTTTGGCAGAAGTTATAGTATATGTGCATATAAAGCACGTTACATTAAACATAGGGATTTGAAAAATTCAATTTTGTATGTAATAGAACTTTTTGTAAAGAAAAAGTTTACTTATTCTAACTAAAAAAAACAGACAATCAAACCAGAGAAAAAACTACCAAACAACCAAATTTGAAAAAAAAAAAGAAAAACAACCGACTGCAGCAACCGCGGATACCTCTAGGTGTATGCGTCACTGCAGCAACATACTCCAAAACCCTTTGGGCTACTTTTATGATGATACAATATACGTTCTACATATGACTATAAATACGGAATTATCAAATATCTTCCGCCACGTATCGGATTAACTCATCTTGCGTATTGCATTGTCATCGGGTTCTGAGCCAACTGTGAAGTTTCAAGTCCCCGGGTCATCAGGAAGTTGGTCAAAAATTGATTGCAAGATTTGCCCCTAACAAACATACATACATATGTACATACATACATACATACAGAGCAACTTAAATGAAAACTTGTAAAAACCACAGTAAAAATAAAAAAAAAAAAACATGATAAAAATATTGAAAAAAAAAAATTATTATTTGCCTTGGTCAATTTTACAACGTACGTACAAACATACATATGTATGTGTCTTAAAATTTTCTTTTCATCCGCAACTCCTCCATTTTGCGTCCTAATAGGTTGACATTTAGTTTGTGCATGCAAAGGAACTGTCCATTTAGGAAAAGCACTGGAATATCATTGCGGTACAAACGAAGGAATCGGAGGTTTTCTTTTTGAGTAATATCGATTTTTTCTAAAGTAAATTGTCCATCGAAATATATTTCGAGTTCCTTAACTAGTTCTTCGCACAAAGTGCAGTCATCCTTTGTATATAACGTCAGCACCGGTAACTTATGTTCGGCGTTTTCGCAGTTATAAGAACTGAAATAAGCATCGAGTTTTAAATTAAAGATAAAGTATGTATACATATAGCATGTTAACAATATTAAAACTTACATTTTCTGTAATAATAATGCAGCTGCATTGCCGCTTCCATTCGTAATTGCAGCACAACCTATCTGCCCGGGCTGTAGCGCGTGGGACAGATGTGTTACTAAACGAGCACCTGACATTGCTATAGGATGGCCGAGACACATAGTGCCTCCATGTGCGTTCACTTTTTCCGGATTCAATTCCAACTCCTTCATTACCGCCAATGGCACCGCGGCAAAAGAATCGTCCAGTTCCCATAGCGAAATATCATCTTTTGTACAGTTGATATTTTCTAGCATGCGTTTAACGGCAATAGCAGGTGCCACTAAAAAATCTGAATCATTTGTTTTTGATTCATTGTATCCTAATATTCTAGCCAAAGGTTTCAAATTCCACCGTCTCGCCATTTCATTTGTCGTTAATACTAGCGCTGCGGCTCCATCGCCTACAACATGCCGTTCATTATTCTCTTGGTCGGCTAGTGTATCCGGCAATGTTCGCATATCGTCTTCGGTCACTATAATCGGTAATCTAGATGTCTGCATTATACGCAATGGCACCAGCTCTAAATCGAATAAACCAGCGCGGTAAGCCCTCCGCATACGCACATATGATTCTTTTGTATAATTGATGCACTCTTCTTTTGTTATTCCAAACGATTTAAGTAAACCTTTTTTTGGTTTTTCTGTTACACCATCAGCCACCAACCCATCCTGCATTATTACATCTCCCGAGTAAAGATAAGTACGTGGCATATAATACGGCACGTTCGACAAGCATTCCATTCCGCCAGCTATGGCTGCGTCTGTGAGTCTCAATTTTACGGCTTGCGCGGCAAACATTATAGATTTGATACCTGTTACACTGGACGCACTCACTGTTGTGCACCAAACACGCTTCGACAAGCCTGCCAAGAGTGTGGCTTGACGTGCCGGCGCTTGACCAGTGCCAGCCGTCATGACATTGCCAAAATATACCTGTTGTACTGCTTCTGGAGGCACAGCAGAGTGTTTAAGCGCTGCATCGATGGCGATAGCACCCAATTGTGGGGCCGACAGTGATGGATGTAGGCCAGTAAAACCGGTGATAGGCGTACGTACCGCAGATGCAATAACTACGTCGTTGAGATCTTTGCAATGGATATCATAGAGACATCTTTTTACAACGGAACGTGATTCTTTCTAAAAATGTCATCAAAATTCAGTTTTATGTACCCAAATTCACTACATCAATTTCCCAGTTACCATAAAATTTCGTTGGAATGTGTGCATTTCGGGTGGTTTACGCGGTCTTCTTCTTCCCAACTAATTTTATTCACGTTATAACTTCAAATCAGCTGGGCAGTTTTGTACTAGATTTATTCTGCGAAAGTGTACAAAAATTTCATTTTCCGGGATGTGAACTAAACAATTTTGAATTATGAAATATATACCCATTTTTGTCCGTTTAAACCATGGTGGAATTATATTAGCTCTGATCCAGTACTCCGCTGCTGCTGCAGCTGTGGTGATGGTCCTTGGTCGGAGTGATTGCTCCGAGTCAATCCGGTAACGTAGAACCGACCATCTTGGGATTGCACTCCGCTGTATCGGCCGCTGTGGTGTAGTGGTAAGCAGTGCGCGCTTTCACTCCGCATCGCCTGGGTTCAAGCCCTGGTCAAAGCAACATCGCAAAAAAATATAGAAAAGTTTTTTCTTGAAAAACAGGTTCTCATAAAAATACAATCGCCGTTCGGAGTCGGCGTAAAACTGTAGGTCCCGCCGCTTTGTGTGACAACATCAAGGCGCACGCCAAAAATCGAAGGAGAAGCTCGGCCAAACACTAACATATGTGTAAGCGCCATTCTATTATTATTATTATCCAGTACTCCATGAACTTTACAGGTTTTTACACGAACTTGCATAAAGTTTTTTCCGTACTCCAGATTAAAGTGAGTTACAACAAAAAGTACGGGAACAAAAAAAAAAAGCATTTTTCCTGTAAAAACGTCAACCAGTGATCGCTTGACACTTTTCATGATTTTACCAGAAGAAAAAGTTCGGGTAAAATCTTGCAATTTCCTTCTCTACACAACTCTCCAAAAATCGCTCTCATTTGCAGGATTTAGGAGGAATTCGGAGTATGGGATCATTTTTCCTGTTACTTCCTGCAGAAAAAGGTCGGGTAAAATCTTGCAACTTTCTGTAACTTCCTGCAGGCTCGTGTAAAAGCCTGCAAGTTCGTGGAGTACAGGATCAGAGCTATTATGTATGTATGTATGTATTTATTCGCCATTAATTTTTAAATTGTTACGAAATCTTCTTAACAAGGCCATGGTCTACTCACACTGACGAATCTTCGCGCTTTATATTTATCCAATTGTAAAAAAATTGTATGATATTAAGTTGGTGCATATCTTCAAAAGTGCAAAATACCTTTGTATACTCGACATTCCACAACCGTACTCGAATAGTAATCTTGTGCCGATATACAACGAACTTGGGCGTTTGCGCGGTTGCCCAAACTGACGAAGATTATCGCGTACGGTTATGTGCGCCGATTTCTCATCGATTTGCGCAACCATCGGAGGCACAATATGCAAGTAATCTTCCTGGAGACGCTGCAACAAGTGCCAATAGACGCGACTTTTATGCTAACTCAATTTCGCGAACTAAAGAAATTAGTTTGCAATGGCGATTTCGAAATCACTCCGGGCTGTATTAATGGTTTTGAAAATCTAAGCAAACTGACGTGCCTTAACTTCTATAAACTGGATGCGTTGACGCCGAAGGATGTGTTAACGCTACTGAAAAAATGTCCGAAGATACAGTTTGTGTAATTATTCTTCAAATCATGCAGCACGGAACCATTTATTTTTTTTAGTTGATCGAGGCTTTGGAAAAGGGAACAGTTAAAGTGAAATTCGTGATGAAATTTCAAAAAACCGAATATTCGTCGTGGTATTACGAAGGTCAGTTGGGGTAGAAGGGAGGGTTTCCATTCGGTTTTACAATAATAATTATATTGCCTTTTTTAAATATTTTGCAGGATCCACGATATCTCGCAGCAAAGGATATGTTTAATATTGTTTTCAATGGCAAATGCATTGATTGGGATAAATGATTTAAGTTGGATCATTATAAAATTTAATATTCCTTAATATTTTATTATTGTTTGGTCTTACATGTTAAGTATGTGTATGTATATTTGTTGTTTAGAAATATAATATATGTATAGTAGTTTTTAAGCACAATAAAATGAATCGTTCGCTATCATACAAAAATTTTAAATCACCACATTTTTTATTACTTGATTTTTCTTCGAATTGACCACAACACTTTACAGATTTAAAAATCCACTTATAACAACAATAAAAACTAGGTGTGCCTGGGACATAATACGGGATTAAAATTTCTCTCGAATCATTTCTTGCAGTCTTAAAGCCTTATTCGTAAAGACAAAATCGATTTAAAAAGCTTTATTAAGTGTAATTTTAACACCAATTTTCGATTTATAAAGCAATTGGTATTTTTCATTTTTTTTAAATTAATTTTTATGTATTAATCTTAATCTAAATTTAAATGTTTTTAGTGTAGCACGTTACGACAATTTACTTTCCAAATTATTTTTGGCCGCAGGAGCAAGAAGAGACATGCACTCTCGTTGCACCCCAGGTGTAAAATTTCTTCGTGGCGATTTTTTAATTCCCCATCACCGCTCAATAAGTTTCACATAAACAATGTACAGGAATCGTGTTAAAGCATGTCGCGGACTCCACTTCCATCTAATAG